GCAGACTCATTCCTAAAGGTGAATGTGGCAATATATAATAAAAGTAATGAATAAAGACATGCAATGTATTATTAGATAAATACCACACAACTCACCTCTAAGGGAGGTTTGAGTGAAATAAAAAGAATAAATATTATTGTGTGGTTACATGAATATGTCATTGGTCGCGTACATGTGATACGCCAAAAAAATATTTTGTTGTGCCTTATAAAAGGTTATTAAAGGCAAAATTAAAGCAAAAAATAATTTTGCTTATGATGATTTTGACCATGATAATTTATTATGATATAATTTTCTCCGTGAATGAGACATTTACCATATGAGTGGTGTGACAAAAAATCTTGTAGTACAAAAGTTGTTAAGAGATCCGGAAAAATTAATTTGTTACTGCCCGGATGAATAAAATTATTCACGATATTGATATTGTAAAGTCTCAAAAGAAATTTTTTGAGTTTCAAATGTATAAGTCAAAGTGGTTGGCATATTGAGACTATAAATGAAAGGAATATTGAACATCTTCATATTTCTATAATCATAACGGGTAAATATGAAAGATTACCCGATTTTCTTTCTATTTGTACTACACAAATATAAGTATGATGATGGAATTATATGTCACAAGTAAACTAGAGGTTTACTGAAATAAATATTAGTTGGCATGACCGGTTGACCATCTCGATTCAATTATGATGTGAAAAATTAATTGAGAATTACATTGGCATATAGTGAAGAAATATAAAATTCTTCAAGAATTCTCTTGTGGTACTTATTCTCATAATATACCAGTTAAGGTTGAGATTGAATCCCTTGATTTCTAGAACGAATAAAAGGTGATAAATATATGGGTCCAGTCACCTTCCATGTGGACAGTTTACTATTATATGATTTTAATAGATGTGTCTATTCTATGGCCACATGTGCATTTGTTATCAACTTGCAGTTTGGCTTTTGCAAGATTGAGTGCTCAAATTATTAGAACACAGTTCCAGAATATAAATTATGATGATTTATCTTGATAATACTAGTTTAAATCCAAGTTGGTTTAGCAGAAATTGTGTGCCTCTAATTATATCTAAACTATTAGTTATGAGAACAAAACTGCCAAAATAAAATTTGGTATGTGATGTATTATTTAATATACAACAACACTTGTACGCATCTAGCCAAGTTATGATAAGTTCTTCCTATCACAATCGGTTTAGGGTCAGGAACCAAATAATTTCCATCTAGAAATATGAATGTGCTGTATGATTTAATTGTTCCACCACAATGCACAAAGATGGATCCCCAAATACGGCTAGGGATATGTGTTGGTGATCCCAACACTAGGGGGAGAAAATAAAAAGCTGAAAAAGTATTGCATGTAATGAATTATTATGAGTATATCTAGATCCTCGTACGAGAAAATGTGAACTTGAAGTTCAAGTGATAATTCATTTGCAAAATATTGCCAGACGTATTTGCTGACCCAAAGCTAAATGTCATATTAAGCTGTTAATGCTTCAAATAAAATAAAGTTCATAATGAATAGAGTCTATGGCATGCATGAAGCATAATAGACTAATCGATTCCAAAGATAAAACTCCTTGAAGAAGGAGAAGAGCAAATGTTCAAGATGGTCATAACAAGGAGGTAAGTGCTCTAGAAGAGCACCACGACATAACACTTCATAAGACCTCATGGGAGAGGCGCAAGTACCTGAAAATAATAAGATAAAGAGATCTCAATAAGTTATGTCTTTATTGGGTAATAGTAGAACCGATATAAAATGATCGTCGACGATATTGTTAATATAATGTAGCGCTCAATATTATTAATATTGACGAGGATCTTGAGCTCAAATCTGTCATGAAATTTGGACAGATAAATGATTGGCCAAATGAAAAATACGCAATAAAAATTGATTTCACCTGAAAAATATGAAGTTGGACGGATAGTCCTAACACCTGAAAGTATAAAGCTAGTGCAGGTATAAATGTGTCCTTGTACAGAAAAAAAAGGTCAAGTCGATAGACATAAAGGCGACTTGTATCACAAGAACATTTATAAATATCCTGGCATTGATTATATAGAGACATGTTCTCCTGTGGTGGATGTCGTCATTTTGGGTTTTAATCTGGCAATACAAGAAAAACGTGATATGCGTATAATGAAAATCATTGAAGGATTTAAATTGTTCTGAAGCATATTAAGGTTTCCAAGAAATTTATTAAATAAAGCTTCAAATTTTTTTATACGAATTGAAACAATCAGGCGCATGTGGTATAATCGCCTGAGTGAGTACCTGTTGAAAGAAGGTACAAGAATGATTCAATTTGTCTTTGTGTCTTTATTAAAAGATCTGGATCTAAATTTATTATAATCGCCGTATATATTGATGATTTAAATATCATTGAAACTCCTAGGGAGCTTCCTAAAGTAGTAGACTATTTAAAGAAAGAATTTGAAATGAAAGATCTTGGAAAGACAAAATTTTGTCTTGGTCTACGAATTGAGTATATGAAAGACGGATTTTTTGTCCATCAATTAGCATACACTAAAAAGATTTTAAAGTGATTCTATATGGATAAAGCACATCCATTGAGTACCCCGATGGTTGTGAGATCACTCGATATAAATAAATATCCATTCTGACCTCATGAAAATAATGAAGAGCTTCTTGGTCCTGAAGTACCATATCTTAGTGCAATTGGTGCGCTAATGTATCTTTCTAACATTATAAGGTTGACATAACTTTTTCAGTTAATGTATTAACAAGATATAGCTCTGCTCCTACAAGGAGACATTGGAATAGAATCAAACACATATTGCAGTATCTAAAAGGAACTACCGATATAGGATTATTTTATGGCAATGATTGCAGTCCCAATCTTGTTGGTTATGCCGATGTTGGGTATTTATCTGACCCACACAAGGCTCGATCTCAAACATGCTATGTGTTTATATATGGAGGCACTGCCATATCTTGGCGATTGACTAAGCAATTAATCGTGGCTACTTCATCTAATCATGCTGAGATAATTTCTATTCATGAAGCAAGTCGAGAATGTGTATGGTTGAGGTCTATAATACACCTTATTCGAGATAAATGTGGGTTGAAGTTTGACAAACTACCCACAATTTTGTATGAAGACAATGCAGTATGCATAGCCCAATTGAAGGGAGGATTCATAAAAGGGGATAGGACAAAGCACATTTCACCAAAGTTATTTTTCACATATGATCTTCAAAAGAATGGTGATATCAATGTGCAACAGATCCGTTCAAGTGATAATATGACCGATTTGTTTACTAAATCTCTACCGACATCAACCTTCAAGAAACTAGTGTACAAGATTGGGATGCGAAGGCTCAAGGATGTGAATTGATGCTCTCATCGGGGGGGAGTTAATACGCATTGTACTCTTTTTTCCTTACAATGTTTCGTCCCACTGGGTTTTCCTTGTAAGGTTTTTAACGAGTCAACCAAAAGACGTATTTCTTAACATGTGTACTCTTTTTCCTTCACTAGGATTTTTTTCCCATAGGGTTTTTTCCTAATAAGATTTTAACGAGGCACATTATCTATGGATATCCAATGGATAGTGTTATAAGAAAAATCAAATTATGGTGGATGTCTACTCTTCCTCCGTAATCTTCTCAAATGCTTAATGACATATTCAATGACATATTTCTATGCTTAATGACATATTTTTCTTTACTTTTCATGCATATATAAATGTCTTGTAATAGATGAAAAAATACACGCAATTGAAGAAGAAATAAGAATCTATCGTATCTTTTTCTATATCTCTTAACTTATTTTTCCTTGTACTATATTATTATTTTGAGCTATATTTTATAACTAAGTAACATTATTTTCACATTTTATCCCACTTTACTATCCATTAACGACCCTTTATTATTTTCAATTTACAAATTCAACGTTTTGCAGTAAGCCAACGATATGAATTGCGCACAAAATGAAAAGTTAAGGGTACATTAATCGATTCAATAATAAGTCGAAATGTACCAAATCAAATTGAACTACAACCCTCTTGAATATAAAACAAAGGAAAACAAATTTAGAAGCGAAAACGAGGGGACATTTATGTTGCGGATGATCTGAATCTCCCAAATTTGGAATTGTTCTCCGTAATGGTGTCTTAAAATCCTATTTGTTAAGTCTCTGTTATATGTTCAATCTCAATGGCGGCTCCATTCTTTTCAACGCCTATTCAACCTTTCGTTTATCAGGTATTCTGTGTTTGTGTAATTCGAATTATCCTTGATCAGATTAGTTTTGGCGATTGGGGTTTGTTTTTTGGCTGACCAAGTTCAGTTACTAACGACTAACGAGTATATTCTTTACCGAGTATCCGTTCAGTAAAGGTATTAAATCTTTTCCGAGGGTCTATTTCTAACTGGTTTGTGAATATTACTTGGGAAGTGATAATTTGTTACCTCATGTTCCGTAGTCTTTACTTCATTTTTAGCTAGCTAGTTATTGATGGTAATTTCTGTGAGATCAGAATTTACTGGGAAATAAAGTGGAAAGGGAGGGTAACAAAGATGTGCAGGTGCTAGTTTAGCATTTTAAGTTGTGAGAAATAAAAGAAAACATTTAGGTGCATCTGCTACAAAGGGTATTCTATGGTTCCTTTTTTTTCACTTCCTTAACTATTGTGTCTGGACCAGCTTGCAGACACCCGACTGTTACACCGGATACCTAGTACCTCCCATCAGCATAGGTATTGGGTAACTCTGCCAAAAAAAGGGACTCTTGTCATTCTTGTAGCTCATGAGTATTCTAGTTTCACATAGAAAGCTAGGAAACAGGTGTAGTCTGTTACATGTGCTTAGTTTGTGGCTTACAGTTGGGTTAGGAATTAAAAATACGACAAAAAAAATATGATAATGTTGACTTCTGTTGAAGAAATCCTAACAATTCAACATTAGACTGCGATTCTTTGTCTGTATATGACTAGTATCATGACATTTGTGTTATATCTATGCTCTGTAGAGTCCGCAAGATGCTGTGACACCTTTCCAAATTTTCGGTAATGAAGCTCATATAGTTCAGGTACTCATTTGCCTATTTTGGTTTCGCTGTTAGAAAAGTTTATATGGTTGATTTGTTGATTTTTGTATACCTTTTCTTCATCTATGTTTCAGATTATGTTGAAGCCGCAAGAAAAGATTATTGCTAAGCATGGTAATTTGTGTTATTTGTAGAAGAGATCTCCTGCATGGTATCACAACCATTTAAGGATACATTTGCTTATACGAGGTTTCAGTTGTTACCATTAATGGCATGCCTAACACATTAACATCTCTTCGTTGTGCATGGTGTTTGATTCAGATATTGGAGAATGAGCCAGTTCTGACGGGCTTACACAAAATCTACAAACTTGAAAATCTAGTTGACTGGATATTTTCTCAAGGATGAATTAGTATATGTTGAACGTACTAGAAGTTGTTCTTGAAGCATACTAGCTTATCACTTTTTGGGGATAGAAGCGCATTGCCTTATGAAAATAGGAGGTTTTCTTACCGGTCTGCCACATGATATGCAAGAAAGAGGATCCATGAAATCATGATAAAAAAGAATGATCCAAGTGGTAATGTCCTAGTAGGTATTGGTTTTCCCTGTAGACGGTTGAACAGCCAAAATTTCGAATTGCTCCCCACCTTAAAAATAAGGAAAAATAACGTAGGTCTATGTATTAAGTCTTCTAGTTGGTTTATCACTGTTCTAATTTGTTGGGATTTAGGATGGAACCGAATAGCGAATTCTCTTGCGGTTAAGACAAGTCCTGCATCTCCTACCTAATGCAATTGAGCGACCCACCATTTCTTTGCTCCCCACCTTAAAAATAAGGAAAAATAATGTAGGTTTATGTATTAAGTCTTCTAGTTGGTTTATCACTGTTCTAATTTGGTGGGATTTAGGATGGAATCGAATAGCGAATTCGCTTGCGGTTAAGACAAGTCCTGCATCTCCTACCTAATGCAATTGAGCGACCCACCATTTCTTTCCTTCGATAATGCCTTCGCTTCACTTCAAGACACTATTTACCAAGGAAACACTGCCCTTTTCTTTTAACGGAAGAAGCCGAAGGGCTGAACAAGCATTGAGGTAATGAGCTGTAAGAAAGATGAGTAGGGGGAGCATGGTGAGATAGACAGATGTCCAATCTTGCAGCATCTAGTTGCTCGGCTTTAGTCTTGGGCTGATCTCAGACTTCAATCAACACTACCATTAGTACTCGTAGTTGTGTCATCTCAATATATTATTCTTTTCTATTGACAAACAACCACTCTAAGATTTGGTTGCATAAATGAATTGTTCTCAATGCTTGCAGTTTTCTGAATCTCATTTGACATCCTTGAAGGAATAGCGTGTTCTTATTTGATTCCTGTAAATATCTTTTTTACACTACTTAGAAGTAAAATCAGTAGCTCTGACGTGTGTCAAAGAAAAGCAACTAACTTTTTTTTTTTTTT